TTATATGATTTCTAGTTGACATACCCAATATTTTTCTTTTCTTTCTCTAAATGACAAAGGTATTTGTTCACTAATGGAGATCGATAGAACAACGGAGAGGCTTTGACAGGTGACAGGAGACCTATCCGAAGTTATCAGCACGTGGAGTTTATGTAACATTCTGTAAAGGTCACAGACAATATCATTTCATCTAATTATGATATTACAATTGAATTTGATCCCTGAAATCTGACCTAGCCTTACTGTTACAGTTTTCGTATTCCTCGACACTCTGACGTTAACGGAGAGTGGATCGGAATATGTCTCTAAGATTATCGTACGTACTTTCCATTTCAACTTTTAAGGACACATTTGCTCTTGTCGTTATCATAAATTTCTTTAATTCCGAAGTCGATCATCTGCCTCAATAGGAAAGATGGCCGCCATATTTGGACTAGCGTCAGAATGATTGCCATAGCAACGACTTGGCAAGAGATTACGAAAACTATCCAATTCAAAAATGCATTACATAACAATTGTTTTAGAATATTGATATGAGCTCTCACGTGACCATCTCATATTAATGATGCTCTTTTTTAAAAGAAAACTGACATAAATGTAAATTTCTGAGCTAAGATAAGCACTAACTGTATACAATAATAATTCATTGTTGATCCGAGACTGAAAGAAACCAAAACATCCCCTCTATTACGTCACACATTTATTTTTTCAATCCGAGATAAGAGCCCCACTTTCGAACAAATCTCATTATTTGATTAGATCAAGGATAAATTTGTCTTAATACAATACCCTTGTTTCCTTCCAAGGCAAGTTAAATTTGTAATATATATATATATATTTATTTGGTCGGACTATATATATATATATTCTATACTATTTATATATCTCCGTTTAAAATTTCGTTGTTTAAACAAACGATATTCTACAAACATCGACAGATTTGTTACACTCTGTTTACACAACAACAGAAATATTGATTGATTATATAGAAAAAATCACACATTTTCAAACGAAATTCAATCAATAATTTATATCTCCTTAAATGAGAGGTGAACGCGGGCATTGTGTGGGAGTAAGGTCAAGGCCATGCCTGGTGTAAGGCTGACATAAGATGGACCCTCTACATTCACTATGTGTCGTTGAACAGAATATTTGCGATTGTGTAATGAATGCACGTATAGGATCAATCGAAAACCGATCGGACGGAAAGCGTAAACAGTCTACTTCTCTCAAGGGTGTTGTCAGCTTCATACCTTCTGATACAAAATGGCCCGATCGTTATCGATCCGTTGTGGGACTTTTTTAACCAATGATAAATAATTAAGACATCATCACGAGGCAGTCCAGGTTTGTCTTATGTTTAAAAAAATGTTTCACTAGCGATCTTTCTAATGATCTTCGGTTAAAAGATATTATGGAACCTGTAGGTTTGGTTAGAGGGTTGTATGAAACCCATATTAGCTTCCGTTAGAGGGTATTATGATGCCAATATAAGCTTTGGTTAGAGGGTAGTATGAAATTATTTTTAGCTTCGGTTAAAGGATATCATAAAACCCACGTTAGCTTCGGTTAGGGGGTAGTTTGACATCGACATACGTTTCGGTTTAAGGGTATTATATATATAAGCATTGGTAAGATGATATTATGAAACACATATTAGCATCAAATAACACAGAATATAGCTGGAGCGTAAAACACAAAATCTTGAAAACTTGAGTCAGACCGACACTTTGGGCTCAGCTGGATTAATTACGGTAAAAAAAACTATATTGGCTTTATAATTCAGCACTGCCATATATGGTGCTCTACGGGGCATACTAAATCACGGAACCGACTTCTCGGTAGAAGTGTGGACTGATAAAGTAATCCGTGGACGGAATGCTGGTTGTAATGCTCTCGGCGGTAAAATAAAATAACTGCCGACCCGTTGGCAATTTAATTAATAACATTCCTATACTCTCATCTAATATTGAACAGATCCATTGCGTACGAAGGTAAAGCGTAATTTGCAATTATTTCGTGTGTTCCTCGCATCAATACAAGCGCTATATAGCGGAAACACGACAATAATCTTGTTAATGTCTGCAAATATATATAGATTTTAGAAATAAATACTGTCATTTAAGTCAGTAAAGTTAACAAAATATTGTAATGTTATTGCTGTTGTTGCTGTTGTTGTCCATCAAGATGGGAATTCGTCGTTTTGTACAAGTACAGAGTTCGAGTACATTGGGCGTCGGATCGATGCTGATGACGAGAAATTGTCCTGTATTGAAATTAATGTAATAAAACTAAGCCAAACCCCCATAAATACATAGAATAACCTCCTCTGCGTACTGGTTATGATTCCAAAGTACCATTCCAAACAAGGCAGAGGACCCAAGTCAGTGTTATAAACCCTCAGCGATCGAAGTCTATACATTATGCCTAGGCTTTACTCTCGAGCGTTGTCTAATTACATTGAACAAATTGTTAACGGCTGTTAATTCCAGGAAATCAATACATAGATTTTTCTTATCTCCGTCCCGTTCGTGTGAGATCTGATTCTATACTGATCAGTTCCAATGTCGCTGACCTATCTAGGTTATTTAACTACCAAAGATATTTATTTTTTTATGTCAGATTACCTATTAGTGATCAATACTCTCAGGGCAGTGAGAACGGTCGGGTATAAGTTATTCGTCACGGGCCATGTAACCTAACTCTGATCTTATACAACACGTGTATTTCGCAAGGCAATCGTTGTGACTCTGCTACTTAATACGTTTTGCTGGAAGTAGATATGCATATATTATCTTCCTTAATCGCGTGTCTTTAAAAAACTTCATTTGATAGCTTTTCTTGTAAAGTATCTTAGAAAATCATTTTTAGATATTCTATCTTTTCGTAATGCGGAGTTATCTGCTCTTGTCAGCAAGTGTGGATTGGTATGTTAATATTTTGCGTAAGAAAATGATGTCGTTTTCGCATAACATTACTTTCAAAAATAAATGCAATCAACGCCTGCTCATAAGAGCAGATAACTCATTTAGTAGTTCAAAATAACATTTATATAAATTATCGCGGGGTTACATGTAAAGTTTTAAACTTGGAAACTTATTCAAATCAACGAAAAGATATTAGTATATAAACTATTGAATTGAATTGCACAATAACTCTTGTAGCGTTTCTCCATGTGCATTACGTCATCCCATATGACGTCACCCAATGTGTATTACATCATTCATTATTCCATCTACACTTCAGTAATACAAGTGTTTGTACACAAACAATTATCAATTATCAGTCATCAATTATGACGTCATCCAATGTGTATTATGTCATCCTATGTGACGTGACCCTATGATATTCCGTAAACTTTACACATACCAACCAATGGTAGAAATGATCTATGAGAATTTCTGTTCCTCGCACTAACCACTGTTTATCTGTGACCAGCATTTGGACAATCGGGATCTGGTTGACGCCATCCCATCAAGGTCTGTTAAATACATGTCATCTCTTTCTGTGCTGTCCACGTCGCCAGAAACGTCAGTAACACAATATCTGGCAACGGGAGGAGTCATGGAGACGGAAACCCTGTCAATCATCAAACCAAATTCTGTGTTGTCGCTATAGGTTATATTTCGTATCAGCGATAATGGGCTGTGTTGCTTCGGTTTTGTTTCTCTTTTATTGCTGTGTCGATATGTTTCGGTTCCCTTTTCATGCCTTTAATCCACTTTCGTCCTTGTGTCATAAATATGTGACAGACAAAATTCTTTTGTCTCCTCAGTCCTTCTACACCATGCATAGCGCTGTTTCCTCTCAAACGGTCGCTTTTGTTTGTGTACAAACACTTGTATTACTGAAGTGTAGATGGAATATATATAAAGAGAGCTAGCTTTTGACTGTCGTACATAATTGACGTCACACTTAGAGAGAGGACAATAGTCCCATCACAGCCTATTAATAATTACAGGTAATTAACACAACGAGCACGTTTCCTAGGTAAAGTACCCGGATGTCACATTGACTAACGACATCTGGACGACAACTAGAAAAATTAACTGTAATTAAAAAGTCATTTGTATGTAAGCATCTTGTATATATTAATGTTATCGATCAGGCCCGATACGACGGGGAGGGGTTAGTTAATTGACGGGATTGTCAATCGGTCGTTATAGGCAGTATCTGGGTCACACGTGAAGCGAGGTATACAGAAATGTGCAACCGTCAATTAACGTAGAACTATAGAGCAAAAAACAACCTTCATCAAACACAATCAATATTAATTCATGTTTACATGTGTAACAAAGACTCTCCATCTGTGTCCCAACTGGAGATAGGAATCTATACACAAATAAAATAATCATTATCTGGTACGTGAATTATTTATAAACATCTCGCATAGGTGTGGACATCCGTAAGGTGGGTCTTCCGAAGTTCCATCTCCTAAGTGACTTCCGAATGGTCAGTCTAGTAAACTAACATCGCACGTGTTAGAGGTATTGTTGTAGGGAGCACAGAGCGCCTAGTATGTATGTATGTATGTATGTATGTATGTATGTATGTATGTATGTATGTATGTATGTATGTATGTATGTATGTATGTATGTATGTATGTATGTATGTATGTAGGTATGTATTTATTTATGTATGTATGTATGTATGCATGCATGTATGTATGTATGTATGTATGTATGTATGTATGTATGTATGTATGTATGTATGTATGTATGTATGTATGTATGTATGTATGTATGTATGTATGTATGTATGTATGTATGTACCAAATGTTTAAATAGGTTATGGAGGATTAATACAAGATACTGAAATAATGATGTGTTTATGTCTTTTCAGGGGTTAGATGAATGACCAGCTTTGATCGGAGCATCGTCACGTAAAATCACCTCCGACGAATGGGAAACAATTTTACAGCCCCCGTCATAATGTTATGCGAGCTCCATGTGAAGCCAAACTGAATTAAAACGCAAACGTTTCTACCAAGCGAAACAGCAATGGCGTTATTAAGACCAAACGCCAGCCTTTTGGACACAACAACACCATTCCTTTGTCCGGACAATTCAACCCCGCCATGCCAGTGTAATGATACGTTCACCAACGTCACGTGCACTGACGTCACTTCATCCACTTGGGCAGAACCGCCCTACCCTATGTGGTTGACAATTCTCCTTGGAGCAATGGCTGCTGTGGTTGTCTTGGTAACAGTTTTGGGGAATATCCTTGTGTTAATCGCGTTTGCAGTGGAGCGAAGTATCCGACAACCGACGAACTACTTCATTGCGTCATTAGCCGTGTCTGATCTTCTTATTGGTACATTTTCTATGCCATGTTTTACTTTATATCTCCTGCTTGGATACTGGCCCCTTGGGGACATCATATGTGACCTCTGGTTGTCCTTGGACTGGACAGTGTGTCTAGCGTCACAATACACGGTTTTCTTCATCACTGTGGATAGGTTTTTCTCTGTAAAAATTCCTGCCAAATATCGGAATTGGCGAACGGAGAAGAAAGTAATCATAATGATAGCTTTCACGTGGATAATACCGTGTGCAGTGTTTTTCACATCCATTATAGGATGGCAGTACTTCGTGGGCGAGAGAACGGTCGACAAATACGAGTGTGAAGTCCAGTTCATGAGTGATCCGTTGTTTACGTTTTTGTTGACTATAGGTTATTACTGGACAACCCTTTTTGTGATGATTGGATTGTACACTGGAATATACCGCGTTGCTCTCAGTCTACAGAAAAAAGCCGAAGCTAAACATAAGAAGATGACCACTGCCATGTCTCACACAGCACACGACAGCAAAAAGAAGGCACGTGCTGTTGACGCAGGCGCTGCTTCACAAAACAGCCGCAAACGAACAGAGAATAACAACGCGAGACATTTGAGGGGTGTGGACACTACTAGTTTCACTAAACCTCCAGAGGAGGACAGGTCAAGTTCCCCAGCGTTTGCCTCAGACGAAGACAATAGTAGCAGTCAGGAAGGAGCTTGTGGCTCCAGTAAAACTCCCCTTACGGGAAAACACGCAGATGATGATGATGATGATCAAACTTGTTTCGTCAACAGTGCTGTTCAGACGGACACAACGTATCGTCCTTCACTTAAAGGCATGCTGGGAGTTTCCTTTGGTCATGTGTCAAAATTAGCCTTTTCCATTACTGCTTCTAGTGTTACTCTGCCAAACGACCACGGAGAGGCGGAGGAAGAAATACATACTCCACTTCCGGACGCTTTACCCCCCGCATATGATACGGTAGTGATTCCGCCAGAAAACAATTATCAGAAAAAAGTAAACAACTCAAACTCAATTAATGAGTTAGCTGTTGATGACGTCATTAATGGATGTAAGTATATAGACGAGGAGAGTTTGAAATCTCTTGCTTCTGCGGAAAACATCAAACTGTTATCAGATCCTGGAACAAACAACGATTCCTCGGCAGACGAGGGGTCCTCTCCGATTTGGAAACGTAGGGCAGATAAGTACATGCCGATACCGATTCCTGCAGTCACCAATACCTCCAATATGGAGGTGATAGAAGAGGACAGAACCATAGATACTGACCTGGATCACATCGCAACAAACGCTCTGCCGTCAAACGGCAAGGCCAGTGTGACAGGCAAACCGCACCGGAAACCGTTAGATTCTGTCCGGTCGAATGATACCTCCGCAAGCTCGGAGCGGAGGTTTGGAAGTCCTTTCCATGCATTGGTAAAATCTATGCGTGAAAAACAATTAAAGAGACAAAAAGCAGCGAGACAAAGAGAACAGAAAAAATCCAAATCAGAAAACCGCGCGCGCAAAGCCTTCCGAACTATTACCTTTATTTTAGGTGCGTACGTACTCTGTTGGACTCCATACCACGTGATGGTATTCATTATAGGTCTATGTGGCGGTTATGACTGTATAAACATCAAACTTTACCAGTTTACGTATTGGCTGTGCTATCTGAACAGTCCAGTCAATCCGTTCTGTTACGCCTTAGCCAATCAGCAGTTTAAGAGGACTTTTCTCCGGATCATGCGCTTTGACTTCCATAGAACGTAACACGTCATTAATAAATTAATTAAGTATTAATTATTTATAGTTAGACAAGTTGAGAATATGTGTATAGAATCAGCTCGACCAATTCGGGATTGAAATGACACGAGCACTGTAAATATCATTGTAATTAACCATCTTAGTCGGTCTGACAGACAACATATAGAGAGATGCATTGTCGCTGACTGTGTACAATCAAAACTCGTTAGTCCGGCATCCAGTTTCCTTGAAATATTAAGCTTCAAATTTAGTTCATGAACCGCATATTTCTACACAGGGGAAAAATTTATAAAGATATTCTAATTTCGGATTTCTTCTCGAAATTCAAGTTTAGATGACTAATCTTATTCGAATCCCGTTAATTCGGAAACTCTTTTCCGTATGCTTGTATCTATTTTGTGTATGTATCTAAGCCAGTTATTCGGATATCCCTCCTTGGAAAAAAGTGGAGGGTGTTGGAGTGTAGGGGATTGATGTAAACCGTTAATTCATGCATTTAGGGGTTGTTTTTATTATCATGATTATTTTACTTATCAAAACAGTCGCTTTCCGGATTCTTGTTTTTTTCCGGAAAGTATATAAAAGATAGTTATGGTGTTGGTTTGTTTGGAAGTTGATCCGGACTAACAAGATTTGACGCACCATCGAGTAGACAGACGTGTGACTTTTCCAAACAAGGAAGTAATGCTGATGAAATGATGAAATGTTTTTATACATTGTAGGGTCGGAACTAACAAATTTCCCTACTCATTGTACCGTTATTTAGATGCGTAATTAAGAAACAGAAAGTGATAGCATGCTTTCTCTGTATCATTATATCATTGTATTCAACTTAAAAAGGGAAATTCAAAACGTTATCCCTGTTTCTAGTCCCTTGTACTATTCAGTGCTTTCATCTACAATCTATTGTCTAATTTTCAGTATTCTATACATGAGTTGATTTCATTTTTTATTTTTATATATTTCTTCGTTTTACTTTGCCTATTTGCCATTTTAGGTGTAAACAGTTCAGGTAAAATTGTGAAAAATCAATAGTATCGACTTATAAATACCCAGGAATATAAACAAGAAGGTGTTGTTTTGTAGCCGGAATAAATAACAGGTGACACTTTAAAAAGTATTGTGATAACATTTGTTTTAAAGAACATTCGTTTATCTTCGGTAAGGTTACGAAATATTCCAGATTATTTTCTAAGGAAAATACAAATATCACACTTCACTAGGGATGATTTTATAAAAAGTTGGTTTATTGTGACGAATGATAATTGCCTTTTTTATTTTATATAATTCCTGTTATATACTTCCTAGTCTATTCTTTCCTTGTTCCGCTAACCTCTTTGTCATATAACAAATATCCAATATTAGGTATTCCCTGATAACCTAAAATAGTACATTTTCTCTTCGTTGAAATATAGGATCTTTTGATTTTTATCGATTCCAAAGTTTACACACACCAAAAAAAGAAACCGTTAAGTTTGCCTGCCTGAAAAACTGCAGTCATTTAACAGCCTGTTGCTTCAATCATTCTGATACGTCAGCAACAAAAAGGACAACACCTTTTGATATATCTATTAAATAGAAAACCTCAAACGTTTGACAAAGGTTGGTATAAGGAACATAATTCAAACGGAACTTATTTCACAGAGGCCCTATTTTAAACGCGTGAAATTCATGCCCAGTGTGCGCGATGACGTCACGCGGGAGTCTATCATTCACAACGTCTTCTCCCTGCGCACGCGCGAGAGATTAAAATTATCCATGTATAACTACAATGACCATTTCAAACGTTTTAGAGTCAATAACCATGGTTACTGTAACATATATGAAAGAGTTTTCCTCAGCAAGAGCTGCATTATCAGCTTATTTGTTTTACAACATTTAGGTGTGACATGAATTCTTGTATTTTTTTTATTTGTCGCCATTTCTTGTGCATTTTTCAAATGCGTGATCAATTTTTTTTCTATTGATAACTATTCTGTTGACAAAACCTAAGATTCCTCAAACACCATTAATTCACAAATAAATTCACAAATTCGTGATTTGATTTTGTCGGAAGTAAGTGTGTCCAGAGAGGCAAGATTTCACATTCAGTGAAGTTAATGTTCTTTTTCAATCATTATCTATATCTAAGTCCATGATTTGACAGAAAGATGCATTACGATAAATTTAAACGTCGTGTCTTACGACGTTAATAAACAACACGGAATCAAAGGTAATCTATTACTTACCAATATTCTTTTGAACTTCTTAATGTTTACACTATCTTCTGATGACGTCATCTTAACGTAATGATACAAGCGGCAGCATTCATTCTACCACGTAAACACACCCGTTCAAAAGATACAGATATATTACAAGTTCCAAGCATGTTGTTGTGTCGGGTAACACTAGATCACAGCCACAGTTTCGTAGTCCAATGTTTGTCACATGTATACCACATTCATGTGTCATCGGTCACGTGGTAGACAGTCACGTGACGCCATGTTAACATGAAAAGCAGATGTTTAAGTGTTAATTAAAATTTAAGGATAACACCTGGTTTATTTTTTCAAATCATAAACGAATATTCTTTATTCCAACTAAATAAAATGAAGAAAACAATTGAAATTCATTTTTATTATTTTTTTTTCTGTAAATTTGGTTTTAGATGACATATAAAATTCAAATTAAACATAGAAGAAATAGTAACGGGTCTTTAGGTTACTCAGACGCAGATAACTACAATTCTAAAAAAAAATATGAACTATACATCCGAAACATATATGTAAGTGAGAAAGGTTGGAGATATGTGTTTGTGCGTGATCGTTTTATTCATATCTAAATGTACTATCTGATGTACATACTTAAAATATATACTGAACTATGAGCGAGTTAGATTGGTATAAAGAAAATCTAAATTCCTTGTTGATAAGTAGAGTAAAAATGGTTTTATGAAATAAGTTTTCATTATTTGTAGGCTGGTGAAGATTACGTTGCAAAAAATATCAATTTACTGGTTGTAAGTAAATGTTGTTGTATAAATCTATCCGTGTTGAAGACGATGTTACAGAATATATATCATTGTTTACTGGAGAAACTGATGTGATAATATATTATGTTTTCTAAGGTGAAGTTGATGTTATAATCTATATAATACCTAGTGAGTGAGTTTGAGACAAAGGAATAATATATTTTGAGTAGGTTGGTGTGATATTGTAAAGTGTACAATGAATTGGAAGAGACGTATGACAAATGTGTGATATGGTTAATATTAGAATGACTGGCCTCGTCACAGAGGAATTTTAATGTCAAAATTGAATTGATAAAAATATTGATGTTTAGTTTTGCGCGTATTTCGCAAAGACACCTAGTCATGAAGATCATTATGTATTTTTTGTTGTTTCATTGTACTGCGCATGCCTGTATCGCAGATCCGCTGAACTTCGGCATTCTTCGGCACCCTTCGTCCGTCTAATGACAAACCGACCACATTGTGATAGAATATTCAAACAATATTGAGATCAGTTAGAACTATCAAGTTAATGATTAATCAAAATGGGAATTTATCAAAACACAAACAAAAGTGTACCCCACCATTGTATCACATCTAGTGCTAATTACACCTGTACTCTCGTAGTCTGTCGTATTACAACTCCTTAAAACCTTGTACGAACTAAGAAATCTAAAACCATAGTTGTAGACAGCTTTTTAAAACCAAAAACCTTCAAATTTCATTTATCGCAGACCTATTGAAGTTTGGAAATGATAGTCATATTTCAGTGAAACATATTGTCTAAAACCATCGATTGTTCTACCCCATTAAAAGATGTTAGGCTGTCAAGAACATTGTCCTGTTCTCACCAAGCATTTCTGTGGAAGTTACTTCCCTTGAGCACTTCCATTATTTAATCTCTATTGAAGGCAGATTTTAGAAAATTCACTCATTTAGAGATTGACCTATGTATCATTGAAAAAAAGAAATCAGTATATAGTTCAAAAAACATGAATCTGCTTACATTACTTGTAATATTAATATACCGTTGACAGTTCATGAGCTGATGATAACAATTTAGCTTGGTAAAGTGACACTGTAGCAGTGTCATATAAAACAATAAACATTATAACATATCGTGACTGTGTCATACAAACGAACAAAAATAATTGAGCAACAATCATAGACATGTATATACGTAATATTCTAAAAAAAAAAAATTGAATTAAAATAAATCCCTTTGATCTAAATAGTTTAATCAAATGTCTTGAAAATCGAGATAACACATATTTGTTTATCCTGGCACTCAGAAGTCTCCGCAGCTGGAAATCTATTGTGAAATAATAGAAAAGTTCTGAAAGATCATAAGATAGCGTCACAGTGAAGTGTAATAAGGAAAGGAAGCCAAAGTTTGGGGAATTACAAACTCTATTTCTCCATTCATTTTCTAAAACTCATATGACGTCACTAGGTCTAGTTTGTAAATCCACAAATTAGGGGCATGGTATGAATCATATGTTTTCTGCATGGACGGTGAAATTGGGATATATATAAATAGGACAATTATGTCTTTCTTCTGATCGATAATTTTAATTATTTCATATGGATATCATTTATTTTACTATTAAAAATAATCTGATCGATTTGAAGATGTGTAGAACATTTGGCATGTCGCCAACATTATCCAGGTATAGCCCGGATGTAATCATACTGATATGTGATAAACTCGTCCATATTTGGCGGTTCAAGTGCTGGTCTCAGTTCAATTTCTTCTTGAATATGAGTGGGTTGGGATGAGAGGGTGCTGGGACAGGGAGGTCAATTAAACAAGACATTCGTCAAACAGGAGCCCGATAGACCAATGTGTTCATTCGTTTATTTGGTTTGAACACTTTGTTACAAATGATCATAAAATGTCATGTAGAATGTTTAAACAAAACGTTTTATATACCACGTGTTAAAGTTGTCCACACCGAACATTTGTTATCGGACCTGTCTTATCTGAAACAGATATAATCATTTGTTCTTTTTGAAC